GTTCAATTCACAAAATCTGTGAAGTTATTGGATGGACGGCTGGTTGGACGTCCATCATGGCCTCTTGGAGCTCCTTCAGCAGGCCTTTCACTGACCAATCAGACGACAGAGACACACCCTGGACTAAATAACTTAATCCCTTTAGTTACTTCTCAGATGTGGATGAATGATGTGAAATATAATCAAGTGTTAAATCAGACTTTAGTTCCACCTGGAGTAAATTCACAAGCTACCCTGCAGTATACAAAGTCATTCAAACTAGCTGCACCTTTACCAGCTTTGAGAACACTTTCATGATCAATCATTATAAAACATATCATATATTATTCTGAAATGGACCAATCTGCACAATGACTACTTTTACTGTCGCTACTTTAACTATATTTTGATGATAATACTTTCCTACTTTTACTTGAGTAACATTTTGAGTGCAGGACTTTTACTGTAACAGAGTATTCCTACACTCTGGTACTTCTACTTTTACTCAAGTACAATATCTGAGTACTTCTACTTTTACTCAAGTACAAGATCTGAGTACTTCTGCTTTTACTAAGCACAAGATCTGAGTACTTCTACTTTTATTCAAGTACAAGATCTGAGTCCTTCTACTTTTACTCAAGTACAAGACCTGAGTTCTTCTACTTTTAAAACATCAGCTCAACAACTTGATTGTTTTCAGGTCCAATAGTGGCATCTCGTGGATATTAGAGGACGCTACAAGCATTCAGAGTTAATGTGCATACCGGATGTGGTTATGCATCAAAAGTGAAAGTAATGCAAACCAGCGAGGATTCCGACATTTGAGCACGATACCGTTGGATTCATGAAAAACTTCGACATCTTACCTCAGAGAGAAATCACTGAAGCTCTCACTGTGCCACACAGGTAAGTTTAATAAAGAAAAACAGGACTAACAGCGTTTTTATCATTTATATGACCAGAGCATAAAGGCCTACTCTTGTGTTCCCGATATCATCGCACAAGGAATCATTCATTTAAAGACAAAACCTGTGGATGATAATTATGTTTTCAACTTGTATTACTTTAGTTATTAGCTCTTCACCCTGTTTTAAGATGTCAGGGTGTTTTAGTCAATTTATTTCCCAACTTTGCTCAAAGTTGATCAGACACATAGATATTATATATCTCAGGTCAGAGCAGATCATTAAACCAGGTCAAACTTGTGAAAATGGCACATAACGTTTGATTTGTGAAGAAAATGCTATGATAAAATGTGATAAATTGGCTTTTTTGTTTAATGGCTTTTATTTTGGTTACGTCCCGTAAGACCGGTTTTATTTTTGAAAGGAACAGCCGGATGTGACAGTAACGGAAACAATAACCAAAACGTTAACGGACGGAACTCTAGAGTTAAATTATTCAGTTTAATGGGAGGTTAATGATGTCTTATTGTTTTACCTGCGTCGAAAAAGAACCAAAGAAGGTGTATGTCACTCATTAATTTGTAAGTATTTTCAGAATGTTATATTTTTGTTGTGATAAGTTAGCTAACTGTGTAGCTTTAGGCCAATAGCATAAAGTTAACGGTTCTAATGACGTCACTGATGGATTTACAAACTGCCAAGTTTACAGTTACCTATTTATTTAAAAAGGAAATTATACTACTTATTTACTCATATTTTTAAATGTGTACCTTGTATTTGAGGTTTACGGATAACAACGTTAAAGTAAATATACAAGTTTGTACTTGTAACAGACAGCTAACGGTTGTCCTTAACAGTTAGAACCCTCTTGATGCTCGCGCAATTTAGCTTATAAACATAGCTTTTTCGTTAGCAAGCATCTACACCCAATTTAAATTTTAGCATAAAAAATAACCATAAAAGCTAATAAATGTAGGCTAATGAAATATATGACAACAAAAATACAATATGTAACGTAAGTATTTTCAGAATATGTTTGTGTTTTTTATTTAATCAGTTAGCAAACGGTGTAGCTTTAAGCAATATAGCATAAAGTTAACGGTTGTCACTCCTGGATTTACAAACTGCAAAGCTAAAAGTTACCTGTTTATTTAAAGAGGAAATTATACTACTTATTAACTCATATTTGTAAATGTGTACCTTGTATTTTAGGTTTAAGGGTAATACACGTTAAAGTAAATATACTAGTTTGTACTTGTAACAGACAGCTAACGGCTATTTTTTTTTTTTAATGAAATGGCTATTAACTCGTTGTCGTAAATGTGTTCCTTTTTATTTTAGGTTTAAGGATAATAAACATGTAGGTAAATATTAACTATACTAGTTTTTACTTGTAACAGACAGCTAACGGTTTTCCTTAACAGTTAAACCCCCCGCAATTTAGCTGAGCAACATAGCTTTTGATTGGCAAGCATTTTTAATAATAATTGTTTCATAATTACACAATGAGGTTCTAACAAAAATGATTGGTCGTGCTTTTTACAGTACTACGGCTTCCACAGATGAAATTTCTTTATGGATTTTTTGTCAAAGCACTTCAGATATTCATTGCTATCGGGATGTTAAGAGCATTCCATGGAATATAACAAAAAGTGTATCTCGAGCCGGTTTCTCCATCTTACTCACCTTTAAGTACCGTTTTCAGGACTTTTACTTGTTACACTGTGGTACAAATATGTGAGTGCTACCTAACTACCTCATCTAAGCTATATACCATACCTAATTATAATAAAGTAGGTATAGATTTATACAGTAAATGTATTACTTTATTTTTATATATCAGCACTTAAAAAATAAATTGCACATGAATTTACAGAAAATAAACAAACAGTTAATATATTTGGACACGTTACCAATAGAAAAAAAGAAAATAGTCAAAAGAAAATTCGCACAAATAAGAACATAAAGTGGTAGAAAGACAATAAAACCATCGGGAGCTGCAACAACATGCTGCCATAGCACTGTGAAAAAGAACACTTGATATGTAAAACACACTTTAAACCCACTTTAACATTTTATTTGGGTTTAAACAGACAGAAAACAGCATTCAATACATCAAACAGATCTTCAGAAATGTTTGTGTCGGTGACGTCTTGGGTTGTTTTCTCCGCCGTTGCAGGAGCGTCTGGATGCGGAGGAGAGGCGGTGGATTCAGGAGAAGGAGAAGGACGTCCTGGCTCCTCTCCTCCTCCGGCTGAACGACACGGAGACTCTGAGCGCAGGAGACGCCAAGCAGATCCACCAAGACTGTTTGTCCGGGTTCAAACAGAGACTGGTGGAGCAAGCCAACCTCATTCAGGAACGCTATGAGAAGGTTAGGGCTTTAGTCGTATATTAAATCCTCTTTTCACTGCAGGAACTATTAGGTCTGACATTTCTAAAAGCCACTAGACATACAGTATGTCAGATATTTTGTGCACTTGCACAAAGATTCCAAGAAAGTCCAAACATGTTGTTCCTTGTATTTGAGGTAACAGTGTGTTCACTCCTGATAGCGGCTCTACTTTTGGGATCCTGATGGGGGAAGATTATTAAAAAAGACCTGTTCTGCTCATTTTCAGGTTCATATTTGTATGTAGTGTCTCTACTGGGACATGTCTCCATTCTTTAATGCTCAAAAATGTCTTTATTTTCCTCATTTCACCCTCTGTCTGAAACCAGAGCCCAGTCTGCTCTGATTGGTTAGCTGGCCGGCTCTGTTGTGATTGATCAACCACTTAGAGATGCCCCGCCCCTTAGCCTATCACGCACAATGTGTTGGAGCGCTACCCAATAGAAGCACGTCACTTTGTCACGGGAGTAACAGAGGACTTCAAAGGAGGCGTTTCAGGCAGGGGGGGGGAGGGAGAGAAACTGGGGGAGGGGACACAGGGATTTCAGCCTTTTCAGACCATTCACAAAAACCTATACAACACACTACAGGGAAGGGAAACCCCCCCAAAACACAATCAATCCAATGCAGGACACAGAAACCGTTAAGATTTCAATGTTTCTTTATTACGTGTTCTCAAACATCTGTGTTTAGGAGACCCAGGAGCTGCAGAGGAAGCAGCGCTCGTTCCAGAAGAACCAGCTCCACATGACGAAGGGCCAGGAGAAGGATTACCAGACCTACTGTACCGAGAAAATACTACGAATAAACGTCGCCAAGAAACGCCTGAAAATGTACTTGTACACACACACACACACACACACACACACACACACACACACACACACACACACACACACACACACACACACACACACTGAAACTCAGATAACTTGGTTGTCAGGTTCCCATCTGACAGCAACTGTTTCCTATTCCTATTACATCATTTTTCGGCTAGCTGCTACTACAGTGTTTGACTTATTATGTGTGTATTATGTGTTTCTTTCAGGCACAAGGAAGCAGCTCCTCACAAGTACAAAGCTCTGGATCAGAGGCTGAAGCGAGACCCTCGACTGGCGCCTCACCTGCTTTACTGAGCCAGGCGTCTTTTAAAGTACTATATGAACAAACTTTCCATACAGAAAAGAGTTTAGAAATCCTCCTTCACACATGCCTTTTTTGACTTATTTTTCCTGTGTTGTTAATCTTTACAAACTGCTTACAAATGTTGTGAAAATGAACCTGCATAACATGTTATCTTTGTTATCTTAACATAAAGGGGATCCATCTACTTTTCAGAAAATAAAGTTCAGGAACAGAAAAGAACTCCAGCTGTGCTTTGTTACTAAATATATATGTTTACGGTTTGTACCCACGTTACAGTCAGGGCGAATCAGAACCTGGTTTATTGCCCAGTAGGTTTTCACATGACTTTACCTCTTACAGTACATCACAATAAACATAGGAAGAGAAAATAAAACATTTAAGAAAATAAATAATAATAAAACATTTAAGAAAATAAAACATTTAAGTTAGTATTGCAACATTCAATTAACAAAAATAACATTTATTTAGATATGATTTGGGTATTAGTTAGAATCTTTGACCCTTCATACCAGACAATCCATTGTTATGAGTTTCATTGATACTTTGTGACCACATTGACATAGTCAAATGCAGCAGGATCATAAATTGCAGTCTAATTTAATTGCAGACGCATAATATTTTATCAGAAAAATGCATTCATATATATTTTATTTCCTCATTCAATACAATTCAGTAAAAACAATATGTAAATGAATAATCATTCAAAATGAAACGCTTAAAAATAAGCGTACCGCATTTCCCTAAATGAAATGACTACCATTGATTCTTTAACAGGCCTCCTTGTTTATTTATCTTTAAATAAATAAAAATAATGGACAAATACAATATTTGAAATGGTAAAAAAGAATATAAATAATCATTCGAAAATAAAAATTAATTATCAGAACCAGCATAACAGCATAACCTTTTAAAATTCAACAGAAACATGTGCTTGTATTGTGTTTGTATGCTTGAAACAGTGCAGACTGTCTTCTGGACATGTCTGGACATGGTGGAGTTTTTTGTCTCCCCTTAAAATCCTTTACTGAAAGTCTCCATTCGCGCATGCGCCGTGCGGTCATCACAGTGTGATGAAGAGAGTGCAGTGCACAAGTAGCGCTAGAGGTAAACAAGCTTTGTGTTTCCTATTTACATATTATAGTGATAATAATGACATGTGAACAGCGGGGACAGTTTATTAAAGGTGTCAGCTCCAATGACAGCTCGTTGGAGGACTCAGACCTCGCTGCTGTCACTGACATGTAACACTGAGCTACTTAACCTCAGCAGAGGCTAACGGTTAGCTGTTAGCTGATCTATTCAGAGTCAATGGAGAGGAGAACTGCTCTGTTTAACTGGGAAAGATTAATGAACAATGTCAAACATATCGTGGTCTCCTTTCCGATGCAGGCTTAGTTAGCAAACGTGATATTTTGAAGCTATTTTGCGTATCGTATTGTGTGTTTTTTAGCTGCTCTTCGTGGAGCTAACACAGCTTAGCATTAGCATGTTAGCTACTGTCAAATATCTGAGTGAGGGGCGGATTTGTTTCTCTTTTTTCTGACTGACAGCGCGGACGACCAATAGGAATTCAGAATAGGCGTCCTCGGTGGCCTGTGAGCCAATCAGGTCTCTTCATAGAGAAAGCTAACAGAAAAAAAGAGAAATGTCAAAAATACAATATTTTCTTTCATTCATTACTTGCTGCATGACTTTTGACTTTTTTATTTGCATATCTTATCTTTATCGTTATCGGTTTACTTGTATGGCAATCAATGATAAACTTAACCAAAAAGTTTAGCTTCAACCGTTTTGTGTTACGTTGTGTCATGACGCAAGCGTCGTATAGTCGACGTAGCCTTTAAAATACTGAACCGATTTTATTGTTCTCATTTGTATTTAATATAAGTTTTACAAGTCCAAGCGCTGTTGTTTGTGTTTCTATCCCAAATGTTTGAATGAAAGTCAGGGGGAACCAATAAGTGGAGACAGTGGTGTTTTTTTACCACCATAGACTGTATAGGTTTTAATAAGTGACAGCCATTTTTGTGCACATGAAGTTTAAAGATGCATCATTATTGCCAAACGTATAATGAGATTAAAATTGAATGTGAATGAAAATCTGGGTCAATCAAAATTAAGATAATTTAAATGTTATTATCTCAAAACATAGGCAAAGTTTCAATTAATTTAACTGCATGTGGAAGTTCTCCAAAAATGCACACTTGGTCCCTTGTGAACTTAAACAATGGTTGATTTGCACAGGCTTTGACACTTTCAGACTATGTTGAAATGTGATGAAGTCAGCGTGACAAATGCTACTTTCTATTCTGCACATGAGGGTATTTAAAGCAACTAAAAAAACATTGCAAAGTAAACATGTTCTCTGCTCTGCTGACATAGCTTAGTGTGTTCTTTGACAGCTTCATGTTGATGACAAAGGTCTTACCGAAATGCACAATGAGCATTAGCACGACTGTTCATGCTAATCCTTTACACAAAGCCAGACACACAAGCTTTAAAACATCAGGCTCAAACAAACAGACAAAGCTTGAAATATGACTCTCCAATAACTGTAGAACAAATTCTATAGTGTATTTATATTTTGGGAAATTACTTTGAAATGTTACTGCAATAAAGCAGAAAGTGTACATCTTAAATGATTGATTATTGATCTATTTAAAATAGTATTTCTTTCTGTTTCTAACAGATGAAGACTCCCCCGGACAGGTCGGGAATCACCTTTGAGGTCGGAGCTCAGCTAGAAGCTCGGGACCGCCACAAGAAATGGTGAGGAACCTATACTCACACACACACACACACACACACACACACACACACACACACACACACAAATAAAAGACGCCATTACTAGTTATACAGACAGTTTTTTGTACTTCAAA